GCCCAGGTGAGACCCAGTCGGGTGGCCTCCGCGCGCCGCCCTTCTGGCGGCTGCTCTGGGCCAGGCCGGGCTGGCTCCGGCTCCATCTTGGGACACCTGTGGCGGCCGCAGGAGCAGCGCTTCCGCCGGCCTGCGGGACTCGGCCCGCCGAAGGTGAGAGACGGCTCTGTGCTTGGGGAGGTGGCGTGGGAGGCGGGGAGGCCCTCCATCCCCCCGCGCTTGGTCCAGAGCCCCGCGCCTCAGACCTGCTGCCTCATCACCTCCATTCGTGCAGAGCGGGCCCCGTGGCCGCGTCCCCCTTCCAGTCTCCTTCCATCACCCTGTCCCCTCCTCTCTTCCCCCTCTTTACTCATGCCCCCAATTTTCAACCATCTTGCCCTGCCCCTGCCTCCTCTGCCTCCAGCCTACCTTGGGTGGCATCCTCTCCTCCCCAAACCTCACTTCCCTCCTTGCCCCTAGTCCCTGGCCGACGGGGCCCATCTTCCGCCAGTCACTCCCTTTGCAGTGAGGAGGGTCTGCAGCCAGGCAGGCTGTGTGGGAGGGGTAGGGAAGGGAGCAGTGCGATTGCCCAGTGGGTAGGGACGTGGGTTCGGGCCTTGGCCAGGCAGCTGGCACGGCCTGTGTACTGGGTCTTGCAGCTTGCATCGCTGTGGACTCGGTTACACGCAGGCTGCTCAGCCAACTCAACCTGCGCATTGGCTTCTTCGGGTCTATGGTGGGTGCCTGGGAATGAGCAGGTAGCCTGACCACTGAGCTGCCCTGGGTAGTGTGGAGCCAGTCTTCGCAGGAGAGGAAGCGGAGGCTCATGGGGCCCGGCTTCTCTCTGTTGAGCAGAGCTGTGTCCTTGGGGACACAAGGCCCTTGTTACTTAGAAGCTTTTCCTGTCCCAGCGAGCGTGTGGTCTGGAGCCTATTGCCCTTAAGGCTTCCTCATCTTCTGTGTGACAGGGCAAGTTTTGGTCTCCTGCAGATCACCTGCTGGAAGTCGCCACGCATCACTGTTCTAGGAGGGGTTTGTAGGGTGTGCATCCCTACCTAGCCTGAAGCAATCAGGTCCATTTGACCAATGGACGTCAAGACTTCACTTGGCACAACTTGGGTCTGATTGAAAAGATGCATGTATGATTCAGGTGTCATCCAAAGACACCTGGGGGTCTAGGATACCTGTCCTTTATCTTGTCCCTGTCCTTTATCTTGTGCTAAGATATCTTTCCAGGGTCTCTTAAGACTATCTTGAGGACCTGGAAGGGTCTCTGAGCCTCCAATTCTAGTGTTCACGGCACCCAGGCTGCACAAAGACCCACAGGTACTCCTGGGCTTCGTGCCTGTAGTCACTCACCAGGTGTGTGCTCTTGGGCAGGTCACTTACTAGAGCTCTCTGAGCTTTAGCCTCCAGGTGTGTAAAGTGGGGATGTTGGAAGATGTCATGGGGTTGCCATGACACTTAAATGGGACCCTGTGGAAAGGAGGCAAAACATGCCTGCGCATCATGTATGCAGGGAACTGGGAGTTGTTAACACTGTTATCTTGTTATGGTTACTTGCTTTGTTGCCCTCCCCTTCTCACACAGGAGCCCTGGTGACATAAAGGGTTACACATTGGGCTGCAAACCCCAAAGTTAGCAGTTTGAAACCACCAGTCGCTCTGAGGGAGAAAGATGAGGCTTTCTGTTCTCATAAAGAGTTACAGCCTCGCAACTGTACATAAGTAGTTCAACGTTGTCCTTTTCTATAGCTGGAATCGACCCTGTGGCAGTGAGTCTGATTTGCGTCTGTACCTGTGTTTTTCTGTGTGTGGCTCAAGAGGTCCTTGTGGGCAGAGCATGGACAGGCTCACATTCATCCTCTTTTTTGCAGAGCAGCCAGCCCTCGCAGAGCAGTCTGCCCTTGCTAGCTTTTTCAGATGGGCCAGCTGGCTGAGAAGCCCTTCCGGTTGCTGTGGCCAAGGGAAAGCCTTTAGGAACGTGAGCAGAGGAATGTTCTGAGCCTTCGTCAGCTCTAGGTAAGGTGTTTTAAGAGACTTCAGACTTGACTACAGACATGCACTTATTTGCCAGACCTGGCCCTCAGCAAGAAACCTTGACGTTGCTGCCACATGGCAAATATAGCTCACACAAGTGAGCTCACAGAAGTGTGTAAGGAGTGACCTGGGATGCAGGGACACCTGCGATGCAAGATATGCCCAAGAAGGGATGGCAGTTTAGGAGCCCAGCCCAGGGATACCTGCTTCCAAAGTTTAGCTGCTTAATTGGTAGAGTTAAAAAGAAGCCTGGGTGTGGCCTGGCCCTCTGGCATGAAACAGTCCTACGGTTGTCTTGAGTCCTTGTCACCCTTGTAGGTGGTTGTGCCCAACCCTTTTTTTTCTGGCTGACTGTCCTAGGCTGTTGTTCTCCTCCCAGGTGCATGCTGGCTTTGCAGGGGTAAGGGCTTCCTCTCAGAGCTCTAAGTTCTTGGAGCAGTGCTGTGGAGCTTCAGGAGCCTCAGATGTTCTCTGCATCTTGTTGGCCCCGGGAGGCTAGGGTCTTTCTGAATCACCTGGGCCTTGGGGCTCTAACCTGGAACCATTCCGGGACCCATATGGGGCTCCCCACACTCTGCTTGGTGGATGTAAGGTGAGGTCTCTGTTTTCTCTGCTAATTCCTCCTCAGTGGTCTAGGGGTAGTGGAATGGAGCAGTGCCCGGTTCAGAGTCGGGGGACCAACATGCTTCACTAGACCAGCAGGCTCCGGTTACACCCTGAAGTCCTGTGAGGGGTGGTGGTGTCACCTGAAGTTCCCAAGTGAGGAGCTCCAAGCCCAGAGGGCTCCAGTGCCTCAGATGAGTGAATTCAGGGGAGTCCACGTCTGGTCTACAGGATGCCGAAGCTGTCATGCTTCCTGCACTATACTACTCATTTCCTTGTCACCATGTAGCCCTTAGTGCCTACCTTCTGGGTGGTAACTGGAAACTGCCAGGCTGTGTGCCCTCCCCCTTCCTGCCAATCTCCCCTGCCCAGTCTGGGGCTGTGTCCAGAGCTTTTGGTCCCAACAGTAGCAATTCGCCATGTGTCGATGTTTCTGCAGCTACCGTCCACCTCTGGAGTGCCCAGCTCCAAGTTTGTCATTCTACAGAGACCGAGGTCCTGGGGGAGCCTCCCACACTCGCTCTCCCAGTGGTCTTGCTCGCCTGCCTTGAGAGCTTGGCTTTCCTGGCAGTCCTTATCAGCCCCGCAGTGGGAGGGCAGGCCCTGGGTTGCCAAACTGCAGCTGCTACCTGGTGTCACCACCCACACTCCTCCGGCTGGTCCTGCCTGCTAGGGAATCTCCAGTCTGATCTCCCTTCAGCCATCTGTGGCCCAGGTTAGGCTGACCCAGATGCTTGGGGCCCTGCCCAAGGCCCAGCCCACTGCCCCTCTGTAGCCGCACAGCCTTGCCATCTGCTTAAGCCATTCCTTTCATCGGAACTGAGCTTTTCCTGGGCCATCACCTCCCCAGGGTGTGCATGCTCCTTCCGCAGTGCCCACCCGCAGCTCCATCTGTGCCACTCGGCACGCACATGGGCTCATTGTCCTGTTGGTTCAGCCTCTCAGCTGGGCATACAGCAGGCATCCTGCTTGGCTCCAGGTCAGTGCTGGGTGCTAGAGGGATGGGAACAGGCTGGAGGACTGTCTTGAAATATTTCAGGCTTGGGATGGGGGTGGGTGGGGGGAGCCTGGCAGTGCAGAGCCAAAGATGGAACTGGTCAGCTGGTAGGGTCAGGACAGATTTCCATGGGAGGAGATACTAAAACTAGAGGTCCCAGGGATGCCGCCGGAGGGGAGTGGGTCAGTGGGCTGTTCGAGGGCGGGTGGGCTGTGTGACTGGAAGAGGGAGAAGAGAGGGAGGGAGGAAGAGAATGCGGTCAGAGGAAAAGAGTTGTCATGTCTGGTAGGAAGTGTGTGGACCCGGGGTGGGCATCATATTTCCATGCTATACCTGTGTCCCTGGGGACACTCAAACTAAACTCACTGCCACCAAGTCCATTCTAACTCATAGCGACTCTTAGGCCCGGGTAGAACTGCCCCTGTGGGTTTCCAAGACTATAAATCTTCACAGGAGTAGAAAGCTTCATTGTTCTGTGGAATGGTTGGTGGTTTCCAACTGCTGACCTTGCAGTTAGCAGCCCAATGCACAACCAGTACGCCACCAGGCTCCCTTCCTAAGAGCGCAGCCCTCTCTAAATGACTGGTTCCGTGTCCTGGCTCCAAAGCTGGGCACACAGTAGGTGCTTAGGAGATGGTATGCAGGGTGTGGGCAAGGACTGAGTTGCTCCCATTTGTGAGGGGCAGATATGTGGGGCCTCTCCCTACCCCTGGTGCTTGAGGGGGAGCCCAGGGTTCTCTTTCCCCTTTATAGCTCTCAGAATGGAGCCTGGAGGCTTGACAGCCCAGGCAAGCAGACCAGAGAAGACTGGGGGTGCCCTAGGCAGGTTTCAATTTGGTCAGGGAGACCCCCTCCAGACAGTGATTCAGCAGACTGTGTGTGAAGGAACCAGGGCTTGGTGCTCTTTAGTAGAGCTGAACAGGTTGTTAAAATGCTGCTGGACTTCTGTATTCTCGCCACCTAGCCCTTGTCCCCAGGGCTGTGGGCTGTGCGGCCAATGGAGTCTCAGCAGCTGGCCTGGGAGGCAGCCACTAGGGCCATTGTGTAGGCCAGTCCTTGGGGAGGAAATAGTTTTACTATCCTCCTTGACCATGAGCAGGTGGGGCCTGGTGGCATGGTGGGGTACGTTTTCAGCTGCAAGCTGCAAAGTCAGCAGTTTGAAACCACCAGTCGATTCTCTCTCTGAGAAAGATGAGGCTGCTTACTCCCCTAAAGAGTCACAGCCTGGGAGCCCCACGGGGACAGTTCCACCCTGTCCTACAAGGTCTCCAGGACCTTGACAGCAGTGAGTGTTTTTGAATTTTCCCAGATCATGTGTAATAAGTGGTTATCTTGACTGGAGGCCTCTAGTGTCCAGTCCTGGCCACGCTCTGCAGTCTTATGGATGGCCCGAACTAGTGTGTAAGAGCCAGGCGGGTTGTGATTAGAGTGGACAGCCATCCCGTGTGCCTCGCTCAGTGCTGACAAGCTGCCACTCAACCTGACCCCACTCCCTCCCTCTCTCCCACAGGGCAGCATGAGCACCAGCCGCCCCGAGCCAGAGGCCCACGCACCCAGGAGCCCCCACCTGCAGCCACTGTCCCGGAGCTCTTTTAACCTGCTGGGTGAAGGCCATGTGCAGAGACCAGAGCTCCACAAGAGTGCCAGCAGCATTGTGTGGCAGACCCAGCAGGGGGAGGCCAGCACTGTCCCCTGGGTCCCAGAAGATGAGGGGTGTCAGGCTGAGAGTGTAGGCCAAGGGCAGGCCTCCAGTCTCCGACCACAGCCCAGAGCCAAAAGCCATTGGCGGAGCAGCACCGTGGGCAATGTGTCCGCTATGGGCAGTGGTGACCTGTGCTGCCTGAGAGTCCCCAGCACTGCTGCCTTGCAGAGGAGCCGCTCGGACCTGGCCCGTAGCACCCAGACGCAGGGCCACAGTGGGGCTCGCAAAGCCAGCCTCAGCTGCTCAGCCCTTGGTGGCTCACCCATGCAAAGGACCCCACTGCCACCTGGAAGTCCTTCTGACCAGCATGGCCAGCCCCTTGCAGGCCCGGAAAGGGACCCGGCTCCTGAGGATGGGACAGCCTACAGAACTGCAGAGAACACAAACTCAGCCTGGAGGTTGGGGGCGGAGAGCCAGGTGTGGGAGTCAGCACTAGATCTCGAAGGTACAACTGACCAAGCTGAGCCCAAAGCCATTGGGCAGCTGGCTGCTGCCTCCTGCCATGCTCTGCCCCGGGCAGCTGTCCTCTGTAGCACGAGGGAGCTGGGGACCAGCGGCTGCTGCCATGTCCTGCAGGCCACCGACCTGGCATTTCCCAAGCTGGTGGCATCAGTGAGTGAGTCTGGGCTTCAGGCTCAGCAGGGGGTGAAGGGCCATGGCAGGCCACCAGGGAGGCTTCCTGGGCACCATCCTTGGGGTCCCAGTGGGTTAACCACAGAGCCTGGTACCAGGACCAAAGATGTATGGACCATGACTTCAGCCAGTGACTTGGCCCCTGCCTTAGAGCCCCCACCAGCGGCCCAGGATGCTGCTGTGCAGGCAGCACCCACAGCAGCCTGCAAGGCTGTGGCCACCAGTCACCCTCTGGAAGCCCCCATGGCCTTGCACATGTTTCCAGAGGGGACCCTGGGCCCTAGCCTGGAGGAGGCACCATCTCCAGTGCGGGATGTGCGGTGGGATGCCGAGGGCATGACGTGGGAGGTGTATGGGGCCACCGTGGACCCTGAAGTGCTGGGCGTGGCCATCCAGAAGCACCTGGAGATGCAGTTCGAGCTGCACCGGGCGCCCACCAGCAAGGACAGCCTGTCAGTGGAGGGCCGCAGGAGGCCACTGCGCGCCGTCATGCAGTCCCTGCGGCCCTCCAGCTGCTGTGGCTGCTCCGGTGAAGCCCTCGAGTGAGGCGCTGCCCACGAGCTGGCCAGGGCCAGGTGTGGGCTCTGTGCTTGGGCCCTGTGCTCCCTGTGCCACTCGCAGTCACGGACAGATTGCATTGACATCAGGGCCTGCAGGCCACAGACCATACGTGGGACTTCCTGCTCCTCGCAGTGAGGCTGTGTTTAAGAGCTTTGGAAGGGGGCTTCAGCACTGTGCACAAAAGCCCCCAGATTTTCTTGTTACAATACCTGACTTCCACTGAGTCTGAACTCTGACGTTATGGGCTTCCTGCTGACTTTATTTTACACCAGTGCTGCACTCTGGTGGTACCTGGGCTGTGGGACCCTAGATGACCAGGAGAGCCGGTGGGTCTGTCCTTGTAAGGCTGCGTAGGGCCTCCGGTGTGGCACACACTGTTCTGGTCACCTTACCGTGGTGGGGTTTTCCCTCCACACCCCCTTTTACAGACAACGCCACAGGGATTCCACCGAGTGTCCTTGTCGGTCAGGGCTGGCTGGGACCACCTCACCTCCCGGCTGCAGTCTGCTTGCTTCATGCAGTCTGAGCAAGGAGGCTTTACTCAGCCCGTCTGTGCCTTCAGAAGGGAGCAGGACAGGTTCCTAGTGCCTGACAGATCTCCGTGTCTGTGGGGAAACACCCGTCTGTCATGTTCAAGGTGATAAGCACTCCTGAAGCGCCCCGCAGGTTGTGTGTGTGTGCGTGTGTGTGGTGGTGGTGGCGGTGATGGGCCTCTAAGTCAGCCCACCTTGAAAGTCATTGTTTCAGGCAAAATATGCACCAGATGTGCATCCTTACCAATCACCTCATTCCTTGGGGCTGAAGGATATATTCCCAGCCAAACTGCAGTTCTCAGAAGTGAGGAGAGCCAGAATGGTTGGGGAAAGGGAAGGAGCGGGGGCAGGGGTACGGGACTTGGGAAGGGCAATGCCAGGTAGGGACTGAGTCAGCTGGAATGCCATGGGAGTATGTGGAGGGGGTTGCCGGGGGCGGGGGTGGGGGGGCAACTGTGGTCCTCTTTGCCCAGTTCTGCCTGCATGACCTGGACCTGGTGGTGGGAGCTAGGGGCAGTGTGGGTTCCCGGAGACCAGGCCTTGGCACAGCCTGACTTTATAGCTGAGAATTGTTCTTCAGAGACCTCTGGAGGATGGGAGGGGCTTGTGCTGGGAGTCCTTGGTCCCAGAGGAGCCATATCATTCCCTTTAGCCTTGTCAGGGAGGCCAGAGGGCAGTATCCAGTGCAGGTGTCACCCACATGGCAGGGTTGACTCAGGACCCATATGTCTGTCCCTCTGCCCATATTCCTGGGGTCCCTTGTGTACCCAGGAAGCTAGAGCCTGCACATTGGTCCCTTCTTCCACCCCACAGACCTGAAGTTCACCAATGCAGAAACGACTTACATGCAACAGTGGGCTCAGTTTTCAAGCAGGGGTGACATGCTCTGAGCCAAAGGAGCCAGGTGAGAAAGGCATGCTGCAGGTAAGCCAGCATCCTCAGACCTGGCTTGTTTACCCAGAAATATGCCTGGCTCACTCCAAGGCTAGGGGTGGTTAAGATGCCACCTGCTTAAAACGACAGTGTGCCAGAACCCTGTTGCCAATGGAACTGGGCAGGAGTAGGGGTGGGGGTGGGGTAGGCAGATGTGGAGGGTGGTGTCGGGGGCAGGTCCTTGCCTCCTTTTAAAAATGTTGACCAAGCAGGTTTTCCTGAAGTCGTGGGCCTGGTTACTAGTGCCCCAGTGCTAGGCATCCATGCGCCCAAGGGTCCTGTCCTGGGAGGAGGCCCGAGAGCGAGTGCACCCCCTCTTGGGCACCCCAGGTCCATGTCTGGGGCTTAGGGCTGGCGTTGCAGGGCAAGCACCTGCGAAGAGACCTGTGGACAGCGCCCATCAGTGCGCCCAGTCCTGCATGGGGATTCCCGAGCTTGCAGCCTGGGAGCATAGTGGGGAGGAGGGAGCACCCTCACATCTGGCCTCAGCTGAGCTGGATCCAGGTGGGTGGCATGGAAGAAGGGCATTCTAGTGGGGGTGAGGAATAGGATGGTCAGACTTGGAGGTGCCTGCCCTGCCCAGGTCTGGAAGAGTCGCTGCAGCCGAGCCTGTTTGTCAGGAGGAGAGGCCGATACAGGTGTGCTTCTTTTGGCTGAGAAAAAACGATCCAAGGGCAATAGGAGCCAAGGAGGGGGCGATGGGGCCATGTTTCATTATTTCTGTGGGTGTCACGTGAAGACGTTAAAGGCAGGAATCTTGAGTCAGGTGATCTGGGAGGCAAGGTGGGCACTGCCAGGAGGTGATGGGAGTGGACAGTGGTCATACAATTGTAGATTTACTTGTGTCCTTCCCAGTATAGCAAAACGCTTGGAACACAGTCACAAAAGGTTTAAATGAGTACTAACAACACCGAGTGACCAAAACACGAACTGTTTTTGTTTACAAAAATCACGTGTGTCCGGTCGGATTCCGATGTTTTGTTGAGCTCCGATGCAAAATATTCTTGACATTTTGTGTCGAAATCCGATTATGATTATGTACTGATACAGTCGAATACCGGGGTTCTACTGTATTGTCCTCTGGGAAAGAGTTTTAAAATAGTAATAAAAATATTAAATGATATCTGACAGAAAAATAAAGGAAAACACTTATTTAAGATATTTCCATATTGCTTCTTGATCCGTGTCCTTGTTTGCAAGATTCTTTGCTTTTATGTGAGCATCGTCAGCCGTGTGATTTATCCTTCACCACCTGTTCACTGGAAGAGTAGGACCCCATTTATTTAGAGATAGCCCAATTAGACAATAGTGTTTGATAGATTAGAAACAATTAGACAATAGTGCTTGATTAGAAACAATCAGGTGACTTCTCCTCTCTGGACATATTAAGATCGTCTTTGAAAAATCCCTTTCCACTTATGCTGGACTTAAAGCAATTGTTCTGACAATATTTTTAGCTCTTTGGACACTTTCAGGAATTGCATAGTTCACTCAATAGCTTGTGGAATTTGGGGTGTAACACACATGACAGCATGTCACCCCTGGTCATTCGGCACTTTTTTTCCTCACGTTATATGTTTGTTTACTAAAGTAACAGACACAAGGGAATAGAAATGTAGTATTTCATCCAAAGCACAATGCGTCCTATGACATTACTAAATAAACCAGACCAGCATAGTTCTGTTTAATCTTTTATAGCTATGGACAATGAACATTACTATGGGCACGCAGAATACACTGTTGGGCAGAAGACTATTACAAAGATTAAGGAGAGCCCTGATTACAAGTGCTCTTTTAACACCTGGTTCGCCAAACTGGACAAAAAATTAGCTGTCAGTTTTTCCAAACCAAGGCGAACTGGCTAAATCCTACCACTGCTCCAGTCCCTAACGAAGGACATCGTACTTGGTATAGGGTGGGCCCACAACAGAGGAAAGCTCATTGAGATAGGTTGGGACAGTGGCTGCAATTCAAAGGCACCTAACAAACAATCTCTTTCCACCAGGTGTCATAGCCCTCAAGGTGTAAGGCCTTCACCTCCCTGGTTAGACTGACTCCTAGGTATTGTATTACCTTAGATGCTATTGTAACTGGAATTGTTTTGCTAATTTTTCTTTCAAATTCTCATGGCTGGGGTAGAGAAGCACAACTGATTTTTGTGTGTTGACTTTATGCCCTGAAACTGCTAACTTCCCCTAGTAGCTCTGGATGTTTCCTTGTGGACGCTTGGGACAATTGTACTGTCCCTACTATTACAACATCCAGAGACGATGACAGACTTAGGAAGGTTGAAGCGTACAGTTTGCGAAAGAGGAGGGTGTGGCCCTCCCCTTAGACGAGGGAGAGGCAGGAGGGCAGGGTTGGAGAGGGGAATGTTTGGCTGGGACCAGTGAAACCCACTTTCTCCTCTTAGTCACGCAAGATCTTTTGAGTTCTCTTTCATCAGTGCTGATGTGTATCAACTCATGCCTCCTCGCTGCTGGGACAGGGTCGCCGTTCCATGGTCAACATTTGCAGGGTGCCTCTGGAATTTAGGTGATTGCGTCCTTCAACCTCTTGGGGAAGCCCACTGCCTCCAGGGTGGGGGCCACCTCCTTGGCCTCAATAGCTAGCCGCACACCTCTGCGTGTGTCTGCCGGGACCGACTTCAGCTTCATGTGGGGGTGGCGCCTGGAGCCACAAGGCTGCCTACCCTGCCGTGCCTCCTGCCTTGTAGCCTCCTGCTCGAGTGCTTTCAGATCCCAGAGCCTGGCCGCAGGCCTTGTGTATAGACCAGCCTCAGGCCCCCGCTTTTAACCAGCCCACCTAGCTCCCCTTCAGCCCCGCCCTGGGGGGTGGTAGACATCGTTATTCCTAAATTGGGTTTGTCTGGAAGTTAAAATCAATACAGAATCAGAAGGCAGACTTCTGTCCCAGCAGCGTCTTGTTCCGGTGAATTCTGTGATGCAGTGCACAAACCCCAGATTCCTCGAGCTCCCTGCTTGGGCGGGAAGCCCTTTTCTGTCTTCTGCAGGAACGCCTCCCTCTCTCTACCAGAGCCCTCTGGGCAGCTGGATCCCAGGGCAATCGGACACTGAAGCCTGGCTTTCTGGAGTTTGTCACCTCTGGACCTGCCCATCCTGGATATCACTTGTGCAACTGTAGTGCTCACAAAAATCACTCATTCACCTTGCGGGGAGGGGCTGCACCTCACAGAGTGGAGGCAAAATCTACAGTGTCGGGATGGTGGAAGCGCAGAGAGTGATCCTGTTCCCCTGTGAGATAGTTAAGGTTTATTGTGCCAAACTGGCCGATAAACACATGTGGGGTTAATTGAGTAAATTAGAATCTCTTCTGCTGAGATTGTTAAAGTTTATTGTGCCAACCAGGCCGATAAAGACATGTGGGTTAATTGAAGGGCGGAGAGATAAATGGCTCAGTGAGCCTCGCCTTTCTAGTTCTCGGGTCTCTTGCTTTGTGGTGGTCGG